TTCTGTTATTATTACATTGTGATATATAATGAAATAATTATACAGATCAACATAAAGCACAGTTTGCAGCCACTCCCCAGCACTAGCATCACCTCCTCAGCTCCACCTCAGATCAACAGGCAGTACATTCTCATAAGGAGCATGTAGCCTAGATCCCTCGCATGTGCAGTTCACGATACAGTGCGCTCCTGTGAGTATCTAATGCTGTCGCTCATCTGATGGGGGGCGGGGCTTAGACTGTAATGCAAACTACAGGAAGCGGCTATAGATACAGACAAAGCTTCCTTCCACTGCTTACCTTCTGCTCTGCAGCCCTGGTTCTTTACAAGCCATACAGTGGTACTGGTTCAGAGATTGGGGACTCCTGTTCTAGAGTCTGAGGTTTTTACAAATCTAGTACTTAAAAAAACTGAGAGCTAGGAAGTATGTTGTAGTGGTTTGATTAATAACATCCAAGCCTTGAGGGGAGTGGAGGGGATCTTCTATTCTTGAAGAGATAAAAATCATCTATCAAGAAGAGATGGCACAGCTACAGTGCTGAAAAATACAGTTGGACATTAAGTCCGTGTAGGTACTTAACTTTGATTATGGCTCCTGAAAAACAATGAACACGCTCCACACAAAGGCAACAGGGAAAGTGACAATCAGTTTTCCCCCATCTTAACTCTGATTTTTCTTCTCCATTCCCTGCAAAAATTGGACAGGTTCACTTCTCAGCACTGTAAAACAGAAATTCTGGAGCAGAGTTTGTGCAAGTTCAGTTTTTTCCTTAGTGTCTTGATGCTCAGTGTTTCTGGCTTGTGCTTTTCTGAGGGAAGGGAGATAATTAAATGGTTTGGTTTGAAAAGCTTTCCCCACTGGGCTGCAAACTTCTTGTGTAACAAAAATAAACAAATACAATGTGAGATGTCGATAAGAGTCCTTCATAATAAAGAGAGAGGCTATCTGTAAGAACTTGAAACCAAGACTTATGTGTCCGTGTCCAGATCCTGCTAAGTGGGAAAATTCATTCCATGATAATTCAAAGTCAAGGATAAAACATTTATCAAATAATATGTATTTTTTCCCCCAAAGAACAAAAAGGTAACAAAAAACTTGGTCATCACATATAAGCCTGTAACATTTTGTTCATTTCTACCTATAACATTTTTAAGGAAACCTCAGATGAAATTGCCCTTCTGATCTGGATAAGAATTAGGTGGTGTGAAGTAGGGGTAGTGACTCTCAAGGCTCGGAAGAGGCTGGGGATCTAGGAGCTAGGACTGAGGGTTGGGCAGGGATACAGAGTAACTGGATTCTAAGGCTCCTGAAGCCAGAAAGGGTTAGAAGCACTGCATTTGGAGAGAGGTAGAGAGCCAGAACTGGATTCTAGGCCAAGTGTCAACAAGAGTCAAGGCAAGAGGCAAAAAGGAACAAGTGGGCTTTAGGTGTTGGCATTTGGGAAGAGCACCCAGATTGGCCCAAGGCCACTTCCCCCAGGTTGGCAGGCTCTCACAGAGCATATGAGGTTGAGCCTCATGGTGGAAATAAGACTATAATATTGTATAGCTGGTTCACACCATCCTTCCTGTAACCCTGAAACCAAAGATTAAGATTTTCTTGGACTTGTTGGAAATATTCTACTTTCAGGCTGATCAAGGTCAGTAGTGAGTGCCCACCGGAACTCTTTCAACTGCCTCTCCCTAGGCTAAGGCTGCGAGTGATAGGCCTAGGAGTGCTGAGCATCTTCAGGATATACTCTTGCTTTGGACCCAAGGTTCCTGGGCATGCTGTTGGGGCATGGGGAGTGGAGAGACCTGGCAGTGGTCTCAGCACAGGGCAGTTGAAGTCAGAGTGACTTCATATGGAGGGAGACAACTAGAATTGAATGGTCCTGACCCTTGAATAGCTACCTGGTCATTCCTTCCAGACCATTCTCCTCACCGAACCTCCTTCAAATACATGGGCCTGGGAAGTATAACAAATTTAATGAAAATTAATGAAAGAAAATGACATAGTTCTGACACAGAAACTAAAAGAAAAAAATGTGAAAATGAGTGGCCAAATTGACCAAAAAATCAATAATATTCACCAGAAAAGAATTTTGTGGATCATAAACAAAGCGAGAGGACTACAAAAGTTTAACAAAGGATAATGTCTATGTAGAGAGACCACAAAACATAAGATCAATAACTGAGGGGAGAGATGGCAAGATAATAGGGAAAGCCCAGGGGATAGAGAAATAGGCAGAAATTCCCTAGTAGATTTTAATTTACTCTTCATGATCCAATGCTATTAAGGTAGACAGAGAAAGGATCCAGATATAGAAGACCTAAGTTCAATGATTAATAAGCTAGGTATCAAAAATATAAGCTCTGTGACCTGCTAACAGAGACTATAATCCCCTACCCTCCAAATACTGAGGTCTTGGAACTCTCATTCATCTATATCTGCTCCTTTGGTCATCTCATCCAGTGTCCTAACTCCAATAAAGTGTGCATGCTGATGCCTCCAGCGGAACTTCTCCAGAACCCAAGCACCTAACTCTCATATTCATCTGCTGACTCAACTCAACATCTCCACATGGATAGGTAACAGGCACCTTACGCTACCATGTTGAAAACTGAATCCCTGATATCCCACACCTGCCAGACAGCTCATTTCCATATTATTAAGAGGTAACTCCATCCCAGCTTGGGTCATGGCTCACATCCAATCTGTCAGCAAGACATGTCAGCTCAACCTCCAAAATATACGCTGAATCTAGGCAGGAAGCTGAGCCATGTGCCTTTATTTCCAGCTACTTGGGAGGCAGAAGCAGAATGATCCAGAGACTGAGGTTAGCTTGGACAACATCATGAGACCTTGTCTCTAAAAAGAAAAGGAAAACCAAATCCAGAATGCAGCTGCTTCTCCCTACCCCCAGTGCTGCCCCCCCCTCACTACTCTTCACTGACCTCAACTCCTGTCCAGGGCCCTAGATCTTGTCTCTCCTATTGGGAGAATGGCCATATGCCATTCATCTGCTCACACCTTTAAGTGGCTTCCTCTCTGTTAATAAAATCCTAAGTCTTATTGTGATCTGCAGCTATCCCCCCATTCCCACTCCCAAATGCTCTCTCTCATCCCTCTGTTGCAACCCTCTGGCCTCCCAGATCATCCAGGAACAGTGTCTCTGCCCCAGATCTTGGCACATGCTTCTCCCAGTTATCCATATGGCATACTCCCTCACTTTCTTTTCTTTTTGGAGAGATTTTTGCTATAGGGCGCATGCGCTCGCCAGACAGAGAGAGACAGAGAGACAGAAAGCAGGAAATCACCCCCCAGGGGGATGGCCACGCCGCAATCCCTTCTCCTCCATTCTCCTCTCGGGATCTTGGGCACGCACGCACACGCACCCGGCGTGAGTTTAAGCCACCGGGTCCAGAACTCGAACCGTGGTTGACTACGTGGGAGTCCAGCGACATAGCCATTATGCCAACTGCTGGCCCCATCCCTCACTTTCTTTAGATCTTCCTTGATTTGGAAACTGTTCTTTAATGAAGACACTGTTCATACCTTTTGACTTTCAAGGATTATAGATGATGAAGGTTCAAAACAAAAGTTGACTTAGGAGACACATAATGACAATGATACTGTTTGATTCAGTGCTTTATGCTTTACCAAGCTCTTTGATATACATTTTTTAAATTATGTAAACAACACTGGGAATGGATACTATCATCCATATTATGCAATGAGGCACAAAACCTCCAGTAAGGGCTATGTCCAAAGTCACATAGCCAGTCACTTCTGGAACTAGGAAGGACAGACTTCACTCTAGTATTGTGGGCCCAGAGCAAGGGCTCTTCCTTCTCCACACTGAAGTTTATTCTATAGTGATGATGTAACAGTAGTAACAATAGCTGCTAGCATTTTCTGAGTACTGCTTACAAAGTACTGTTTTAAGCACTTATGTGTATTCATTTCCTCCTTGAAGCATCCTAGCAGTAAAGCTCTATGATCACTTGTGGTTTGCAGAGGAGAAGACCAAATCAATATCAGGATAGATAATCTATTGCAGGTAGACCAGTGGTTAAGGCAGCGCCAGGATTTCCAGCCAGGGACCTGGGCTCCAGATCTGGTCCTTCAACACCACCCCAAAGCCCTGGCTTGGTTTTATGTCTTTCTTTTTTTCTTCCTTCCTCCCTTCCTCCCTTCCTTCTTTCTTAATTCACCAGAGAGACAGAGAGAGGAAGAAAGAAAAAATCCCCTCTAGTAGGGCATACTTACACTGCAATTCCTTCTCCTCCATTTTTCCATCTGTTGGGGTTCTTGGTGTGCACCCACATGCATTCAGTGTGATTTTCAAGCCACTGTGGCCAAGATTCAAACCACATAATTTTCCATGTGGGATCTGGCTCCCTTAACCTAAGCCCTGAGGCCAGCCCTATAACACTGTCTCTGTTGGCTTTGATAGACATGCCAGATACGGTGTAGTTAGACATAGGTGAAGTCTCCAGTTGGGCAATTGGAGACCAATTGTATTTACCAAAGATTTATTTCCTTCTTTTTTTTTTTTTTAAAGAATGCTTTCTTTTAATTTAATTTATCATTATTACTTTTAAAAATTTGCTATAGGGCATGTGTGCTCACCAGCGAGAGATAAAGAGAGTGAGAGAGAGAAAGTGAGAAAGCAATCTGCCAGGTCTGGGACTTGAACTGCAGTTGGGCACGTAGAAGACCAGCACCTTAACCACCACCCCACCTGCTGGCCCACCATAGATTTCTTGAAGCCAGAAGTAGTTTAAGAAATACCATCGTTATACAGAGGTTAAGTGAGAAAACTTTCAACATAATCAATAACTGCCAGAGGTTGCAAGCCAGGCAAGCAGAGGTTTGTGGGTATGAAATATACCATGGCCACCTTTTCTAAAGCAGATGTTTTATTTTTGAAGATGATGTGCAGATTGACTTCCTGTTTCAGCAGCGGCTTCTCCAGGGAGGTTCCTGGCAGGCAGAGGGAAGAAGGCTTGCCTTACCTGGGATGATCGTAGGCGATCTGCTTGAACTCGTTGTTCCAGTTAGGTCTCCCATAGAAGGTTTTCTGCCTTAAGCCTGTAATCACGTCTGTATTTTCATTCCAGTGTAAAGCTATGTGAATAGCCTAAGACAACATAAAAATAGGAACCTTCTATAAATAAAGGTTGAAAGAACTATGCTTATTTTGTAGATTTAACACCAAAAGAAGTCTTACGGGACTGGAGAGGCTTATCAATATTAGCAGATAATATTTTACTTTTTAGAGCAAACATCATACCTTATTTAACTTCGTGTGGGGTCTTGGAACAAACTGCCTCCTTAGACATAGTAGGTATGCAATAACACTAGCCTAGAAAGAATAGTTTTCTTAAAAGGATGAGAGTAATACAGCAAAAGTGGCTAAGGAGAAGCAGTCACTCGATGACTTGACTTCTCTCTCTCTCTCTTTTTTTTTTCTGCCAAACTTCTCAAAAATTAATCCCCACCTGCTGTCCCCATATACTTAAAAGTAAATCCTGGGGATTTGAGAAGGTCATTGCCAGATTAAAGTGCTAGAAAGTGTCTGGAAAGAAACTGGGTCTTACAATCAAATCTGCCTACTGGGTTGAAATGGTGTGACGTGTTCAATCTGGTGGTTTGAATGCTGGGAGGATATTGGGTCTGGCAGATGGGACACGGTGGCTGGAGCACAGTGCGGGGCAGATCTGTGCCCAACTGTGTCCTTTCCAGTTCAGCAAGCCATCCTGGTGTCAGGTCCCAGTGGCCAGTCGATAAGAGCCTGGGACGTATCAGTCCCTCTTGATCACTTTGTAAGTTGCTGTCATTTGTGCAGCTCCTGAGTTCTGGTACGTCCTGGGATTTGTGTCCCGTGTACTCACTCACCCCTTGCAGCCATTGGGAGCTCTGGAGCTCACGTGTGTTACCCTTTGGTGCTCAGGGTGTGATTCATGCCACAGGTTCCTGCTGCAAGCCTGACTTTCCTGTCCGGCTTCTCCCCAGTCTAAGCAAGCGGCCAAGGCTAGAAATGTCTAGTCAAAAATAGTGGAAATGCCCTAATAGGCCAGTTGACAGTTTCTGGAATCTCCAAAATCCAGGCTGCAGGAAATTGCCATCAGACAATTTCAGGAGGCAGGGCAAATATTGGAAGGGAGTCTGGAAATAGGCCCCCAGGCAGAGTGAGGAAAAATGGCAGGCAAAGGACAGTAAGTGACGTGTCAGAGAGGGGCGCCAGCATGAGCAGAGACACAGAGCAGGAAAGAGGGCACGGGACGGGTGAATGTGCGTCGTGAGGAAAAGGAAAATGTGGAGGTAGGAAGCGTAGGGGGGCGGGTCCAGGTGCCAAAGGCCTTCAAGTAAGAGGTCCAAGCATATGTCATAGGAAAGGCCTTCCCTACTTAATGGCAGCGGTGCCATCCGTCGCGGATGTTCAGACGTTCAGAAAAGTATTTGGGCTGTATTTCTTAACCCAATGTTCAATTAATCTCCAAACTGTTGATTCGCCCTTCGTAATACTCCTTCCATCTGTCCCTTCTGTTCTTGTCATTTTGCCATTTTGAGGTTGTTGAATTCAGTGTAACAATTGGATCTTTCTAAAACAGCCCCTTGATTTTTCTATGACAGAATGCACCAATTATTTTTTTCTTTAAATGTTGAGATTAGTGATTTTTAAAATTATATATATATGTGTGTGTGTGTGTGTGTGTGCGTGTGTGTGTGTATATATATATGTGTGTGTGTGTGTATATATATATATATATATATATTTTTT